CAAGAACCGTTAAGATTGATACGAGTGGATGAAGGGTCCACAACGACGGACGGGTTCCACCCCAAACTGTGTGTTGGGGTTTTAGAATATGTAGATCCAAGTTGCAAATGGAGGCGATCATCCACAATTGTTCGCCATCATGTGATTTAAGAAGGCGTCAAGGAGAAATCCCCTCCCTAGACAAGGATAACCCATATATATAATATATATATATATATATTAATGGTATCCTTGTCATAGGAGGGGATTTCCTCCTGACGCTCTAAAATCACATGATTGAGCGAGCATTGTGGAATGATCGCTCCGTTTGAACTTGATCTACATATTCAAAGCCCAACACACGCAGTTTGGGGTGAAGCCCCGTCGTCGTTTGAGCCCTTCATCCACTCGTATCAATTTTAAACGGTTTTGAATGAATAGAACTTTTCACATGGCTCGATGGAGGTCAAAACGAACGACGGATTTCACCCAAACTTGGTGTGTTGGGGTTTTAGAATCTGTAGATCAGTTCAACCCCGGAGCGGATCATCCTATAATAGTCGCTCAATTCATGTGATTTAGAGACGTCATGCGAGAAATCCCCTCGTATGATAAGATACCCATTAATGCTCATATATATTATATATATATATATATATATATATATGTATAATATGAGAATTAAATGGGTATCCTTGTCATAGGATGAGATTTCTCTCCTTGTCGCCTATGTGGCACAATCCCCACCCTTCTTATAAAGTAGGCAAAAATCCCCACCAACTCACACTCTCTCTCCTACTTTATTGTTTTCGGAGAAAGTTACCTTCATTGTAGAATTTATTATAATATGGATTGCTTACAAAGAATTCAAAATATTCAATAAAAAAATGAAAGATTACAACTTTTCGAAAATAACGCAAGATCCGTTCGTCGTTTCTTGCTTGCGTGGGTCTTTAGCCGGTGACGGGGATGTCGATATCCGTGGACTACCTGACAGTCAGATCAGATCCAGAACTCCGTCGATTCGCGAGGGAATCTAGAAGCAGAAGCGCTTATCTCGACAACGACGAGATAATTGCTCTTCTTAGAATTATCACAACGGGATAATCCTAAGGATCGGATGCGGGCGGTGTAGATCTGAAGAAGCTTTCTCTCCTGTGTTAAAGAACTCGATCAATCTTCGATCCGACAGGGCTTCGCCAATTCTCCAAAAATCCAGATCTGAAAAAATGAGGCTCTGAGGCTTGTATTTATAGGCACGGGACGAAATCAGGTTGGAGACACCCTTGGGTGTCTCAACTTGGGCCGAGACACCCAAGGCCGAGACACCTCGGGGTGTCTCAATTCAGGCTGAGACGCTGTTTTTTTGCACATTCGTCCGTTTCCGCCGTAACTTCTTCATCCGAACTCGGATTTGAGCGATTCAAAGTGTGCTGGAAAGCCGACGAGGAGTTCTATAAGCTCCAATGATTATATCATCAGTTGAATAAATGAGACACGAAAGGTATTTCGCCGTTTGTGAACGATACGAGGTTCCCGATCAGTTCGTGTCTTTGTTATTCTGAAATTCCGTTGGTTTACGTAGTTCGTCGATTCACTTCAAGGTATTTAACCCTTCACCCTCGAAGGAGCTTTCAGTAAATATATATTTATCAACAGCCTTCTGTACTGGATGTTTAAAATATTTGAATACACTACGAATTCACGGTTTTTAAAACCAATGCTACTATATACATTTGGTATTGGCTATGAGGTGAAGAATTTCAGTTATCAGATATTCTGCGACAGTTGTCTCTGGTAAGCTATTCAACCTCTTTTTTCCCCGTTACCTTATTCACTTTTATAGAAAAAATAATTATCCAAATGCATCGAGTGGGACTTTGAAAGTGAATAAAGTTATGGTTATCAGTTAGAAATGCATAAATTAGGCTGTTGTTGGTGTTAGGGTACACACCAACAAGAACGCCTCAAACAGAGACGCAAAACACATCCAAACGATATTGAAATCACATAATAAAACCAGCAAACACTAATTCAATCACAGTACTCACAGATATAACGTTGTTCACTCTTACGGAGCTACTTCACGGTGCAACGACGACGTCCAATTCCTTTAGGCCCCGTTTGGCAAAGGGTTAAGGAAGAGAGGTTAAATAGAAGAATTAATGTACTTAGCCCATTCGATAATCTGAATGACTAAATTATTAACCCGTTAAATAAGTTTTATTTTTACTTAGCCCATTCGATAATCTGAATGACTAAATTATTAACCCGTTAAATAAGTTTTATTTTAGCCCTTATGATCAGTTTTAGTATTTGGGAATAAAATTATTAACCCGTTAAATAAGTTTTATTTTAGCCCTTATGATCAGTTTTAGTATTTGGGAATAACAATAATTTTGACTATTTTTTTTATAATTAGGAGGGTTAACTCTTAATCCTTCTAAATAGGAGTATTAGTAAACCCCTCATTTGGAGAGGTTAACTCATTTTAATCACTCTAGAGAGGTTACCTTAACTCTTCTATATTTTTTATGTTTGGTAAATTATAGAGGGTTAACTCACTTTAATTTTTGTATAAATTTTTTATGTTTGACGGGTTAAGAAGGGGTTAAGTCTCATTAATCCCTCACTTAACCCTTTGTCAAACGGTACATTATATTACTTTCGAGGTTACAAAGGAAAAAGATAAAAGAGAACACCCTTTCTTGATCAAGATACTCTTCAAGAATTCTCACAAACTTTCTCTCAAGATCTCTTAATGATATTACTTATATTTGTATCTTTCTTTTTCTCTCTCTGCTACTGAGATGCTTTACAAATCAAACTTAGGGGTATTTATAAGTTTTCTCATGTGGGTAGGTGAACACTATTTGGGGTAGGTGAACACTGTAGCAGGAGTAGGTGAACAGTATTTGGGGTAGGTAAACACTGTAGCAGGGATAGATGAACACTTTTTGGGGCTATGTGAACATTGTAGCAAGGTAGGTGAGAAGGCTATCCACACCTTCTCAACAGTTGGTCCTCAAGTTTGTATATGGTTTTCATGTCAAAAGAATTAGTTAAACGACAATTTATTCAAATAATCCTCTTACGAGCAAAGATGCCCTATAATTATCTTTTCAAAAGGAACTAGACTAAGCAGTCATTTATTCTATTCTTTCCTGCAAAGCATTTCAATTGACAGTACAAGTTTGCATAAATTGTCAAGAAAATGTATCTTTTTATAAGTACATAAAATCAAGTCAATATATGCCATTTCTATAAAATTCTCAAGCACGAAGTTGAAATTTGTGTGTTCCCTATTGATTGGATTTTGCTCCTATTTTTTGAGACAAAGTACAGCTTTATTAAATAATTTTGCACTCATAGAATGATTAAGACTTTTGAAATAATGTTTTACTAATGATTTAGCCACTAAACAAGTACAAAAATATTGAAAAACGTTCAGAAGATTGCTTGTGAAGTCGATAGATGAGATAGAATAAGCATAATAGTCGTCAGCAAGGCAAAAATATGTTTCTTAAGCTAAGAAATCTGAATTAGCCAGAAATAATGTGTGATTATAAATCATTTGTACAGCTTTATAGAATAGCTTTGCACTAATAGAATGAATAAGACATTTAAAATAATGTTTCATAATTGACTTAGTCATTAAACAAGTAACAAAATATTTTAAAAATTCAGAAGATCGATTTGCTTGTGAAGATAGCAGAGGTACAACGAGCATTTAAGCCATAGTTGTCTGCAAGGATAAAATACGTTTCTTTAGTAACTGGAAGCCAAGAAATGTGAATTAGCCAGAAATAATGTGTGATTATAAATCACTTGTACCCAGTTGGCATGTTATATAATTAAGCACGTTCCAGTGATATCAATACTCAAGTTGGCTTGCTTACAGAAAACAAGCAACTTGGTCACCAAAAAGTGATAATTAACCTTATGCTTCATTTCTCGAATCAAATTTAAATTTAGTTTGAGATTATGACAATCTTCAGAAGATTTCGTAAGGTTCTGTGAACCTCCACGAAGAATATGCAACACCCGAATCGTAAACTTTATATAGTTTGATTACATGTTCTGTAATTAAATACGAGTTTTTTCAGACTTAGACTTGCTGAGAGGTTTTGCTCTCATGTTTTCTTCTCGCTTTAAGAGCAATTGAATTTTCCCACCTAATCTGAAAGAAATCCACAAGCAGTTGAAACTATTTGGAGGATTTAGACATAATATCAACCCGGTGGCTTTTCAAACTAAAACACGTGATCCATAAGACCAGATTTTAACCGACTATGTTATTTCTTTGTAAAAGCTGGCGGGGAAAATGAGCAGAATCTAGAATATACGTGAGTTGATCTTTATTGAAGCCATGGTAACAAAAGATTAGAAAGCTCCAAGACGATGAAAACGATGAGTAGAACAAGTGTCATTTTCTGGATATCATCAAAAGATCTGAAAATGAAGTCTTATAATAATAGTTTAAAACCACTTTCGTGTTAGAACGAAGCGCATGACAGGAGAAAGAAAAATGAAACGGATAAAGTACAAAGGGTTAGGTGGAAGAAATTTGAAAAAACAAACTTCAAACTACTTCAAAACTAAGCGCTTGGGTCCTTTTTAAATGTCCTCAAGAATGATCACACCTCATGCCAAGCCTATGGTTTTGGAACAAGCCATGGATATATGGAGCTGAACTTTTGGCATAATGAAGAGCTGGATGCCCCCACAATGATTAACATATTATTCCAAGCTTTTATACTGACAACTAATTCCTTTAAGAATTATAACTGGTCGATTAAGAATCTTTACAGGTCCCACCTCCGTTTGCCGACCAATATGAGGTAAGGCTGCTGGGAAGCCAGAGCTGACATATTCAAACGTCACAACCAATTGAATCTTTTATTCAGTCAGTTTAATTCCACATGACAATTTAATTAGTCCTTTTTAGGACTAGATGGTCCCTTTAAATTCTAAAGCATGTGTCTTTCTAGTTCATCTCAAGTTTTGTTTGTAAGCACTGCAAGAGTAAGGGACAATGGGGTGTAGGACTTGCGAGAAACCAAAAGTGAATTATAGGAAGGGGCTTTGGTCACCTGAAGAAGATCAAAGGCTTAGAAATTATGTTCTCAAGCATGGCCATGGATGCTGGAGCTCAGTTCCGGTTAATGCTGGTAAGTTCGCTGCACAAAACTCGATCACAAATTACAATGTGCATCGTACTGAAATTCCTGAACTTATCAGTCCTTTGATCATCCATTATATATTGTGGATTTGATTTGCTCATAGACTTCATTAGCGATGTAGCTTCCAAATTTGGCTTTTATGGGCTTTTTTCTATAGCAAATCTTTTGTGTATGAGTTTTGTACCGTTCATCTTCTAGTTATCATGGCAGTCTGTTTCATTCCAATTCTCGTCTTCACTGAAGAGGGATGATGTCAGGGTAAGAATTAAGAGCTGGTCACTAAAATTGTGGTCAATCCTACAATGTAACTTTCTCACGTTAGTATCATGGTTTATGGCCATATTTATTTTAAAGGAAAATATATGGATGATGACTATGATGATAGTGGCCTTAATCCGTAAAATATAAATATAGATTGTTCTCCCTTTAAGGAATTTGCATAGGTTCATATTGAGCACGATCAATCCTTGTCAATAATATTTCTGTCTTTTTCCAATGGAAGGCTTTTCTAGTTACTAAGTTCACAAATTGTAAGAAATCAATGCATAGAATAGAACTAGGATTACAAATGGCTACACTTCATCTTACTAAAACTACTTCACAACAGTCTGAAACAATTGGGACTGAGTCAAATTAGCTGATAAAATAATGACTATATTCATAGCTGGCCAGGTTTTCATGATATTCTTCAATTTTGACTCAAAAATTCAATATCTCTCTGATAAATTTATCTTTTAATTGTATGTGATGTGTTTTCTAGGCTTGCAGAGAAATGGAAAGAGCTGCAGATTAAGGTGGATTAATTACTTGAGGCCAGGACTGAAGCGAGGAATGTTTTCTCACGACGAGGAGGAAATAGTTATGAAACTTCATGTTACGCTAGGAAACAAGTGAGCACCCCAATCTTTTATATTTTTCGACCTCCATCATAGGTAAAATTAATATATTTAATTTCTGATATTGACAGAAATTATGAGCTGAGTGTCAGCAAAGAATTTTAGAGTTATACAAACTAAAATACATTCTGAAGTGAATTATTCAAATTTGACACTCAAAGTCCATTTGGCATATGTTATGACTAAAAAATTTCCTTAGGACATTCCTGTCTTTTATTCTAAAGAAAGCTGGGCTCCCACTTTGCTTCCTTAATGAGGATAAACATGTACTTATTTTGTTATCAATAAATTCTTCCAACTTGATTGATCATTGATTGATTCATAAGCTTAGCTGTCTGCACATTAAACTATTTGATGCAGATCATAGTCTGAGATTTTATTTCATTAACTTACTGATACATGTTAGACTTTGCAATTGTCTATTGTATTAGGACACAAGTTTTCTTCATGATTTAAAGAGTTTACCAAATTCATAGTTTTTTCTGCTAAGATTTCCATTGTACGGGCTCAGATTCCTTATATTTTTCTTGTCCAAATGAATAACTAGAAACTAATGGATCGCTAACATGTGGACATGCTACGGTATTTTGATTAGCAAAAAAGTCTAGTGAGTTTGTCCAATCAAACTTCTTGCCAAAAAAAAAAAGGTCTAGTGAGTTTGTCCAATCAAACTTCTTGCAAACTGCTTTTCTTGTGCTCATATATTTAGCAAACAGATTAAGGTTAAGGTTTTATTTTAAGTATGATCAATAAACAAGACAGGCGTAAAATATGTCTCGTTGACTTTATTGGCCTACAGAAGCCCGTGATTTATATATGCAGATGGCCAAATGATGATGAAAGATTTGAAAAAAAAAGGGAATGTTTTCTTTTTGTGAAAAAATGATTTTTTTTTTGGAGGAAAAAGAAATGAATGTTAAACAATATTCTAGTTTAAATTTCAGATGGGAGCTTCATATCGATTCTAGTTTAAAATCGTCATTTTTCAATGAGACTTCACTTTTTCAGAAAGAAACATGGAAACTAACTTGAATCATTATGCTCTCATTCTATCAGATGGTCACAAATAGCAATGCATTTGCCAGGGAGAACCGACAACGAAGTGAAAAATTACTGGAACTCCTATCTCAAAAAGAGAGTCAATCCTCATGCATCATCATCAAAATCTAAAGACTCGACAAACCAAAATATTAACCAGATAACAGCTTCTGAATCTGTGGACTCGGGTCGGTCAGTTTCGGTCAATACTGACCAGGGCTTATCAAAAGGGACATCTCAAACCTCTGCATTGCCGAAGATTATATTTGCTGACTGGCTGTCTACTGATCATGCCCTTGGTGCTTCGAGTTGCCAGTGGGATTCAAATCCACAAACCAATCAAGGGTTTCAAGAGGGAATTTTTCCCGTGCACGGGCAATCTGGTGGTGATTTTCTTCATGGTTTCCTAGATAGTAATGTTTATGGGGAGCTCCAGCTGCAGTTCCAGAATGAAAGTCAGTTACAGGGAGGTGAATTGTTTGATCTTTTTTCCATGGGTGAGATTAGTGGTGATTTGAATGTAAACAATGATGTAATTTATTGATTATATGAACATTATTGATATATATATATATGAACATAATGATGTAATTTATTGATGTATATGAACACAAGATGTGTAACTGTAAAAAATTTGAGCTACCGTCCACTGTGGTTTTTTTATGTGAATAAATGAACATTTTACTTGTATTTCAGGGTGTTGTAACTTGTAGATCAGAACAATTGACAGTTTGATTATTGTTTAATGTCATGACCTTCATCAAACAAAATATTTTTAGAATAGCCAATAAGAGAGTACTATTGAAGCCAATGAAGTCCTTCTTGAAGAATTACAGGAAAACAGCAAAGAAATCTGCCAGGCAGACTGGCGGGGGGGGGGGGGGGGGGGCCGCGAACGTGCACGAGTCGACCGCCGCGGTCGACCGCGGATGACTGTAAGTGAATTAACTCTCGGGTTTGTGATTCGGTCGACCGTCGATGTTTTCTAGGCTGGGCCTTTTGGATTTTGACCTGATTCGTTTCTAAGTTATATATAACTCAAAACCTGATTGTTTAGGGTAATCTCAAGGACGATTTTGAGCAGTCTTGAAGAGAGAATTGTTGCATCCAATTGTGTGAGAGTTGTGAGAGATCTAGAGCTTTGTTTTAGGATTTGATCTGAGAGATTTGTAACTCTACTTGTATTCTCTGATTTCTTATAGTAAGAACTCCCCCCCTCCTTGCCCCGTGGACGTATGCAACTTGCCGAACCACTTAAATCTCTTGTGTTATTTGGTGATTGTGCTTGTTTATTTGGTTGTGATCTCTCTTGTTTGGATTGTGTGATTCGACCGCTTCCGCGCCGCGCACAACACTTCTACATGTAATTATAATTGTCGTAAAGCCTCGTGGTCGAATCTCTGTACTTAGTAAATGAACCTAGCTATATAGTATAAGGGACGAGATGATAAGATAGCAACAGCGGTCTCGTAGCAAAAGACTTGGGTAAATATTCTTCAAAGATGAACTATTACGTGAACTTGATAATGATATCTGGGTTAGGTTGTCAAAAAATTTCTAAACTGTGACGATACGGCTCATCGATTGCGTAAACGAACATCAATAGTGAATATAAGTATTGACTAATACTACCTTTCAGTTTTTGGTTGTCTTTTTTCCTGGAAACCACCATAAAAGTGGGGCCATTGTACACTTACAAACTATAGAAATGTTAGGGGCACATCCCAAGTCACACCTCCAACCACACCTCCCCCTCTCATTTGCTACAGTACTCCGGGCTCCACATGAGTTTTTAAAATTTAAAAACGCATGTGGGGCCCGGAGTACTGTAGCGAATGAGAGGGGAGGTGTGGTTTGGGGTGTGCCCCTAACACCACTCTACAAACTATCTTTTATTTTCAATGTATATGTAAACCACTTTTAAAATGAGTTTTGTTCTAATCACCTCCAAGTCAAATTTTCACACAAAACCTGAAAATAAGCTAAAAAATGCACGTTGAAAGTACATGATTTGTATCCTAACTAGATCTAAATATTAACAAAGTAAGTCACATGTCTGCAATGTGAGTTTTTAGGATACATTTGTGTTTTCAGTGAAACTTTGACTTGGAGGTGATTGATTGAAAAAAACACGCTTTAAAGGTGGTTTAGATATAAATTGAAAATAGAAAATATTTTCTGCATAATGACACTATTTTTAAGGTGGTTTCTGGATTAAAAGAAAAACATTTAGTTTTATACTGATAGAACTCTTTTTTTAAGGGTAGTATTTAAGCTCAACTCAATGGTATTAACTTATAAAGATATTTATTAAAAGATCAAAATCAAGCCATTACTAAGTGAAACTTATCTTCAGATGTGTCCTCTGACTTCTTGGCTGTCACTTTGTTTGCATGCGCATCTCTTTCTCCGTTAAAGTCAACGGCATAAATAAGCCTCTATGTTTTATGATATATAAGGTAGTGAAAACCTCACTTTTGTAGGGTGAAAACCAAATTATAGCAATAGTGCTTGGCTAAGTGAACCAAACTAATTCAACACTTGTTTGGATCAGACTCCAAGTTTTTCTATACAAGTACTCTTTTCAATTCTTCCTAATGTGAAGCTACACCTGAGCATGAATCTCTAATTGATCTTATAATAAATAAACATAATGGGCCATTAGTATGCATAGTAGTCCTTTATCTTGGAGACTAAGGAGTGGGATTATATATTTTTTATGAGGTAAAAATAGGGCAAGATGCCTTATCAAAAGTATATTATAAATCTCAAAAAGTGTAGTATATACAGATAATATCTAGGAGCGATTTCGATGGAGACCCCCAGAGGGTAGAGGAGCGGACCTTTGTCGTCACTCTACACAACAAGGGATGAGCAAAAGAAAGCACTTGTAGATATCAGTGAGGATTAAACAGAAGAAGTAAGGCATATGTGTTGGGGAATTTCAGTCTCACCGCCTACCACGATATGCGCAACTCGAAAGCCAACCTCAATCAATAAGATAGAACAACCACAATCAAGAAAAAGAACACCGAAATTTATGTGGTTCGGTCGACCAACTTCGACCTACGTTCACGGGGCAACAATACGAGAAATTCACTACGTATCAGGGAGAACTACAAGAGGAACCACTCAACTCTCGTCTCTCAATCTCTCAACCTCACATACATAATCAACTTTCATATTCTCTCCAAAGCCCACTCCTTGTAATCTTTTGCACGGATAAAGACTACGAAACCCCCTCTCTCTCTCATCTACTACATCTCTACTTTTTCTTCATAGTTTTTCCTCTACCAATAGAAGAATATATATAGGGAAACCAAAACCCTATCTCTAGCCTAACTTCCTAATTAGAATAGGATTCAAACTCCTAATCATGATAAAACTCAAACTCCTAATCATGATAGAACTCAAACTCCTAATCATGATAGAACCCAAACTCCTAATCATGATGATAGAACTCTAACCCTATCTAATTCTCATGAAGTTACACAAAGAATCAAAGACAAAATCCCAACAATATGAACAAACACAAGTTAACATATACATAAAACTAGCCAGAATAAGTGTTTATATCCATCCCCAAAAAGACGAGAAGAGAGAGTTGGCTAAGGATTGGCCGCAGCATCATTGTTATCCTCGCTGGAAGAAAGAAGCTCTGAGATATCCTTCTCACAAACAGTAGCTTTCAGCTTCTGTCTCTTTTTGGTGGTTGAAGAATCTTTCCAGAAAATGAGAGAATGAGCAACCATGGAAGCCAACTTACAAGCTTGAGGAACTTCTCCTGAAAAGATCAAGTTGTTACGGGCTCTCTACATAGACCAACAGATAGTGGGAAAGCAAAACCTCCAAAATTGTCGAACCTTAAACTCAATAGATACATCATAGCAGATAGTAAGGCATTGACTTAAAATGTTGAGGCAATGAAAGGACTCCAATCTTATGAAGAAAAAGGCCCCAAACTTGCTTAGCAAAAGAGAAGTGTAAGAAGAGGTGTCCATTAGTCTCTAGTTCATGTTGGCATAAGGAACAAGTAGGATCATTAGTCCAATCTTTGATGAGGAGCCTATCCTTAGTATTTAGTTTGTGCCTGGATAAGAGCCATAAGAAGAACTCGACTTTGTTAGGGAAAATACTTTTCCATAGAATCGAGTAATATGGGCTACAAGTGCCATCATAAGAGGTGATAGAATACAAAGATTTGCAAAAAATACCCCAGAATTCTCTAATGGCCAAGACACTTGTTCCAACTCCAAGGATGGGCAAAGATTAGAAGAAGATAACATGTATTCAAGAGTATCAACTTGTAAACGATCTTGCTCTCCTATCAATCTCTTGATAATAGGTCTCCAACACCAGTTGTCACCTCTAAACATCCCATGGGACTCAATATTAGCTTGCTTGGAGAAAGCAAGAGTGTAAGCCAGAGAAAATAGGTTGGCAAGAGAATTCTCACCAATCTATATGTCCCCTAAAGTTGAATCCTTTGACCATTACCTAGATGTCATTTAACTGTAGCTAAAAAAGATTGGCTGATAGTCAGGACATCATTCTAAAATTTAAAGCAATTACCTTTATGTGGTGTGCTAGAATGGTTGTAGAGATAAATAGATTGAAGGACCTAACCAACATGATTGTCACTAGATAAACATTTCCATCGCCACTTGGCAAAAAGAATTAAATATTTCTAGGTTAATGATTCCAAGGCCACCACAAGGCTTGGGACAACAGACATTACCCCATTTCACCAATATTTGGTTTACGCCACGATTGTTGGCAGCAACAACCCCCCCCCCCCCGAAGTTTACGGTATAATTCTTATCTATCGCTTTGATAAGCCATTTTGAACGTTATAATATTATTATGTCCTAATTTTGAGAATGAAACAAAAAGGCGCATGATGACTATAGTATGCGCCCCAAGCTTCTAAAATTCTTCATCATAGATAATATGATAGTAAACTGGGGCAAATCTAATAACTTTAGTCACTGTGGGCAAGACTAAGTAAAACATATGTGTGATATTTTTACCAAAAATATTATGACATCAAAACCAAATATGCATATATATTATATCTACAAATAAAATATAGCCAATAGAAGTGTCATATTAGAATTAGATATTGGTTTCTGCCGCATTTTCATATTTACGGTAAACAATAGTGTATGAGGAAGTTTAAACAATCCTTAGTATTGAGAGCATTGCAAGAGTCTAGCAGGAGGAGGATCTGCAGTTAGGAGGAAGAATTGATGCCGACATACTGTATCGATTGATGATCATCGTATCATAGCAAAGACGCGATTACAAAAGAGAGCGGAAGGATTTCAGAAGAATTTGATAGAAATTACAATGGTTATCTAGAGATAGAGTAATGGAAATTGGGAAACGGGTTAGGTTCGTCCCATTTAGCATTTTGTTTTAAAGATATGAGGGATTA